AGGTGTGATCCCCATGGCATATACAGGCAAAAATCACCATCCTAAATGCCTTCACGCGTTGCAGGAAAAGGAAAAGATAACAATATTGAGGTTTTGAAACATTGTTATTTCATCAAGGGCATGGTGTTCTTGTTTTTTCTTTGATAGAGACTGGAGGTTTGTTTCATGTCCACTTCAACCTTTTCAGTTTCACATAACCCTTTAAGTTCCAGTCCATTTGAATTATCAAAACTCTCAATCTCTCTTTTCTCTCTGTGAATCTTTAAGAGCATGAGCATACCATCCAATATGGGCTCTCAATTTCTTTCTTTCATAGGAAAGAATCTTTCTGTCTATTTCTGGCTAGTTTGGCCAAGCTGCACCATTTTTCTTTGCTGAATTCTGGATGGTGGATCCACATTTATTAAGCGTGTTAGTTTCAACAATCTGCTTCACGTCCCTTCTATCTTGAACATCTAGTCGACTTCATCAAATGGGTGGGAATGCCTTTTGGACATCTGCTGCTAACATAAACATGATGACCCAAAATTTGTTGGTTTGCAAGAGAGAAGACAGTCCGTCACCCAATTCAGAACCACATAAGAAATATAATGCACCATTTCTTTATTTAATCTTCATATAAAAACGCAATCATTATGACAAAAACTAAGGTGGCGGTGGCGGTGTGGTTGAGAGATTGAGAGGTTCACTATTGTTTGGTTGCACCCCCCGTAAACCTTAAATATGATAACCGTGACAACTTTTAATACTGTGAACTGCAAACAGGTGTGCTTGGGAATTGGGCAGCGATGAAGCATGGCTTTGTTCCAAGGATCGCTAAGTTTAACAACTCTAAAGGGTGTAGAAAACTATGTACATGTAGCTTCTAACGTCGCAACGCTAGACATGCGACAGAATACAGAACACCATGATCATGCAGAATTCTTATAATAATCCTCAAAGCCCACGTCTGGGAACGGTAACTCAGCCGGAAAAGTGGAATATCCAAAGTCACGGAGCTATCTTTGTCTCAATTTATCATTGCTAATTATGTTGAAAGGAGAAAGAAACATAAGAAAATATGTACTCTACTTGCAGGAATCTTTGAAACCACCATTCATCATACAACTTGACACTATCAACTTCTTCAGACTAGTTTAGCTCCACAAAAAGGCTGGCCTGAGGATGTAATCCTGCCTCTTTCAATGACAAAGAGCGCTTCTCTGAACCATAAGCAACTCGGGGGAAGTTGGACACAAGGCTGTAATCCTCAACTTCTAAGCAACCCAAAGAATCAACATAGTCATAAAGTGATTGGATTGTCACCGAACTGTGAAACCTCCTTTCTTTACGTTCACCCGTAGGAAAGCGTACCAAAACCTGATTTGCCAACAGAACATGCACACATTTAATTTCGAAATGAATAAAATTAAGTGTGTCAGTAGGGAAACTTGAAAAAAGCAGGGGATGAGGGAGAAGGGGAAAAAAAATAAAACATTACGGTCATATCATTGCAAGTTTGCAGCAGAATAACAGATCATTTGAACTGAGATATGAAAGGTGCTTAAACCAGCATAACTAGAACTAAAAACAATTAAGTTAAATCCAAAGAAGGAAATTACTTGTGTAACATTTGGCCCTTTCTCAGGTTCATCACCAAGTGACAAGGCCTTCTCTTGCCGCATTCTAGCTCGGGCTGCCTCCTTTTCAGCAGCTTCACGTGCTGCTCTTTCACGAGCCTCTTCTTCTTCCTTACGTTTCTGCTCAGCTTCTGCAGCTTCCCTTTCCAGACGTTCTTGCTCCTCTCTCCTCTGCCGTTCCCTAGCCTAATGTCATAAAAGGAATCACAAGGTTAAGACAATGGAATATCATCAGTCAAATGGCACATTTTTTAAGCAATAAATCCTATCAGTGAGAAAAAGAGGATTATTGGTTTTCATTTTTAATCTTGGAATATCCTGATAGCAATGAAGCAAAAATGAAGAATGTCATCTGGCCCAAATGAAGTAAACATTACTAAAGCAACTAAGATTAAAAAAGCAGCCTACTTGATCAGCCTCAAGTGCTGCTCTGTAAGCAGCATCTTGCTCCTCCCTTAAGCGCATGTTGTTTCTTCTCTCTTCTGCATCCAACCTTGCTGCAACAAGAACAGGAGCACTTTCTTCAAGCACTCTCTGCAGTACCATGAGCATTTCTTCAGGAGATTTTGGTCCCTCAACCTGCAGAGAAAGGGAATAGTTCATTGTAATACTCAATAGGCAAGACCACCATTCACAATATTGGCATTCCTGGGGTTTTGTACATTCTGAAGTAACAGGCAAAGAGACCGAGGTCTAAGAAAGAGATAACTTCATGCAGCATGTATCATAAAGCTGGAGTGAGTGCACGTAGGAAACTAAAAGTTAGTCAAGATGAGCTAAAACTGCTTGCTTTTTAACTGCAGAATATTTCGACTTCTCTTTTCTAAGAGTTCCCCTCAAATAGATTCAGATATGAAGGTAAAATTCCTGACAAGAAAGATTCTTAGTGGAATGAGTAAAAAGGTATTTTCATCACGTAGTATCTAGTTATGCTGCCATTAGTGATCATTACCCATAATCAACTAGTATAAATTAATACAATTGACAGCTTTGTGTCAAGCCTCTTAAATCCTCATTCAACATTTAGGTGGAATGTAAAATAAGACAATGCTAATAAAAGTATATAAACCTGACTTGTAAAAGAGAACAAGTTTACACATACACGCTCACAAAGATAAACTCATTCAATCAACCATTTATAATGACAAGTCAAGGGAAAGCAAACCGAAAGTTGAAGATAATGACAAGTGCTATTAAAGTTTCAAATAAGTTTTCTAAAACATATACAAGCAAACATAATTAACATGTAATTAGGAATGAAGAAAGCATGATTTAGGTTTAGGCTGCATCTCAAATGCAAGGAAACTAAAAGGTAATGCCAGACAGAAGTATGTTATAAGTCTCAAAATGACTTATGACAGAATATGAGGAGCTGGTATCTGGAATACGAAAGATCAAATAAGATAAGCTTCAGTTTAAACTTAATCATTAAAAGATTATTTATTCAGCAATTTCTTTTCTTTAACAAATAATCGTTATGCATAGTTTTTGGCCATGTAAAACTTAACTTCCTGTCAAAGTAAATCAGTATTGACAATTACATCGGAGCAGAACCACCATGAAAAATTGACAATTAGATTCAAACCTCTGATTTTCACCCATTTATCCACAATCAATGTGATTAATTGCACTCATAAATTTATCTAAAACTATGAACTATGGGTCAACTGCAGTTTCTGACTTTTGCGAGAGGATGACCGATCACTGTGATCTTTGGCACTCGAAAACGGTAACAAATTACATTATCAACAATTTTATCCAAAACAGCAGAGAGAATTACACCGTTGATACCTGTTGAAGAAGCGCGATCCTCTGATTAGTAGCGGGCATGACCACGGCACAAAACGGGAACCTGGAGGCTTTGAAGCTATTACTCATTTTGAAACCTTCACTAGCCCTAATGCTCCCGCCCCACGCCACGAAATTCTCATTCACAAAGGACGCCACCGCCTCCGAACACAAAGTCTGTTCGCAGAATACAGGCGAATCCGGATGGTCCGGCGAGTGCAAATACACAAACAACAGTTTAAACGCGTTCCTCGACCTCTGCAACGCGTCCACGAAACCCTCGCCGACAAAATTCGGCCTCCTCGTTCCGTACTCTCTCTCAAACGCCGCCACGAAATCCATCGCTTCAGAAGCCGCAGCGGAGACCGAGACTAATCGTGCCGATGATTCCCCTCCCCGCCCCGATCCCAGCCCCATCATCCCAAGGGAATACGAAAGAACTCCGCCCGCGGCCCATAAGCCAAGCCCAACAGCGCCCGAAATTAAACCTATACTACCGGATATCACGGAGATCGGTAATGTAACGAGTTTCCACGCTAAACCGGAGGAGGGAGCGGCAACAAGACCAGAACCGGAGGCAGATTCGGTCCGGTTAAGTGATTCGCGAGGATCTGAGTCAGAGTTAGCAGTTGAAGCGGAGGTTTGATTGGCGGAGGTGAAAGAAGAGATGGCGAGTTCCAGGTCCCAACCATGGGCCTGGAGGATCTCCGTACACAAATCGGGATCTTCGACTCCCGTGATCGCTTGAAAATATGCCAATTTATCGGCTACATCAACCATTTCTCGACAATTGAACAAAATATTAGGGTTGTTTTTCTTTCTTGCTAGATATGAAGAACAAGAACAAGAACAAGACGATGCGACTTTCTTGCTTCTTGTTCGCGTGGGGTGGGGGGTTGAGGTTAGTTAAGTAAAAATGGCCTGGAATGCTCTAAACAATGTTGGGGGCTCATGGATTGATGTAGATCGGGTTCAAATAGTTTGCTAGCGCCTACCAGAATCGGGCGCCAGAGTGTGGTGATATTACAAATCTACCATTGTCTTTTGCTGATGACTTCGAGCTGGTCTCTTTGGGTTTTTAGTCTAAAACTTTTTGACTGTGATGAAACGACGCGTTGTGAGATATGCCAGTCGATGTCGTTTAGTGTTTCACTGCGTTGACAATAAGATGAGTACGTTGCTTCCCCCCTTTTAGACCTGTCAACTGTTAAGGACTCAAGCGTGGACGGCCTTGATCCATACATATGGAGGTATAGGTTAAAATGCGGCATCACCACATTGGGTATGTTTTTATACCAAAAAGAAACGACGACCATCCCTTCACGTTAGATATCATTATCATACTGTGGCAAAAACTTTTCTATTAATATCCATTTTCTTCATTAATTTTTTAACTTAATCTGAAAAAATTTATTTATCCAAATCTACATGTAACCTTATACGGCAGATCTACATGTTCATGTCATACAACATTCCCAACTCAAAAATTGTTAAGGGATAGTGAATAACTCATTACATTTCCTCAATCAAAACTTTTCCCTTGTTTTCTGCTTTATTCTCCATTTTCGAAAAGCTTTTACTGCCTCCATAATCCATGAATGAACTCTTTTCTGCTTTTACCATGGCTCCTAAAGAAGACCATGCTTCCCCTGGTTGCTCATGAACCCAACACATAATGAAATGAACCTTCCTCTCAGCAAGCTTCAACTTGCTTTTGATTTCCGCTTTCCTCAACTTTCTTGGTTTCTCGGATTTCAACTCCTCTTCCCCAGCCTGAATCATCCTTTGCAGATCAAAAAGCATACAGATTAAAGCAGGACCTCCAAGAGAAAGTAGGGTAGCTACATCATCAACAAGAACCAATCCAAATTGCAAGCCACCAATATGCCTATATGCTGGGGAGCAAGTTTGCTCCAAGCAATAAGACAGAGCTTCCCGCACAGTTTCTGGCTGTCCAGCTTGACCCAATACACAGGATATACTCAATACCACCATTGCTGATCCTATGGCATCAGATTGCCAATCTCCATTGTAGACACGAAGTGTGAAGCAGTAGCTATACACAATGTCAACCAAATGAACAGCTAAAAGCGGAGATGGCTCTGTAGAAATAAGCTTGCGAAGTGAAGGGAGTGGAGTTTCAGGGCCAACAGGAATTCCACTTGATTGGTTGCTTTCTAGATCATCTTCTGGTGGCACTGATGCTTCCAGGTTGGCAATAGGTTGTACAAGCCGAGTTCCATCCCTGCTTAGACAGATTGTTCCAGCAGCTGGGTTCAACCACCAAGGATCCCAGGGCTCAATCATCTTACTCAATTCTCCAGATGCCACAGCTTTTTGGAACCGTTTCTTCTCTTCAAGAGACAAATCATCAAAACTAACCTCACGTCCTATAGAAAGAAAACAACAAATTAACTCGAATTTAAGTACAAGCAAAGAGAACATAATCCGAAAGATAAATCAATGTAAGATCAGATGAACAAATAAAACTTAGCATTTTGAATCTAATACCTGACAAAATCTTCTGAATAGTCTCATCGGAAAGAGTCGAATCTGCCAACAAAGAAAAGAAGAATTCAGATTACATTTTCATTAATAGACGATTCAATCAAGACTTGTTACAGGTAAGCTAACAAATCAAAGAAAAGTTTTTTTTTTAAAAAAAATACCATCATCATCTTCATCCACAGTATGGGTTTCTTCCTCCGAATGAAACCGTTTCAGAATTTCAAGCATTTTCCGTTTAATTTCATCGTCAGGTTGCAGTTGCCGCAGCTCCTCAACTACATTTTCTCGCATAAATGATTCAGTACAGCCAAGACTATGAGACTGCAATAAAATTACCCAAAGAAAAGTTAATTTTGATTCCATTCAAAATAATTTTTAAAAAAATTCATCTCCGATTCAACTTTAAAGCGTGAAATAGAGGTTACCTTGTAGCAATGAAGAGAGCAATAGCGGGAATTACATCGAGGGCAAGTGTATTGCGAGAATTGCTTCTGACACCTACTTAAAATCAGTGGAAAATTACGTAAAGATTAAACTTCACACATATAATTTAACATAAAAAGAAGAAATGACAAAACTAGAAGAGAAGGAAGAACATACACATGGCAGATTACACGGGACGGGGGATTCAACGGGGACGGATTGGAAAGGTTTTCTGACGTGAGGATTGTTTCCGCCATCTTTCAACTAACCCAACTGAAACCGATTCAATTCAGAAGGTTTTGATTTTGTTTTCAAGTAAAAAAGAGGCTGGAAAACCCTAGAAGGATCCAGGAAGTTTTGGGCTCTATTTGAGCCGACAATTTATTTTGGGCCTTGACCTAAACGACTTAATGTTTGGATTAATAGGAGTAAAGATTGGCCCAAATAGAGAATTTTTACTTATCAATCATAATATAGTGCATATTTCTTGGTGAATAAATTTTCACACACTTACGTGGATGTACATGAAGCCTATGAGGAAGATTGATGAATGTAATTTGAAGAAAAAAGGATTATTAAGTTTGACAATCTTTCTTTTACTTCTTTTTTTTTTTTTACAGTATGGTTATGGATTAAAATCCCACCTTAAACTTTTGAAAAGATTACTGTTACATTCACGAATCAAGCCACGCAAGCATAAAGCCTATAAGAGTTTATCAATGAGTCATTTAAGCATTGGCAAATAGGAATAGAGCGATTTCTTACTGTGATCCTGCTAACTTCTACTTGTTTTGTTCGATCTTTTTACACCACCAGTTTGTTTTGTTTACCTTTCTTACCATCCATGAATTCATTTTCACAAAAGAGAAAAATTACTACATTTTTAAGAATTCAGACCCTTTGAAAAGCCTTCATGGTTCCCTCAGATTGCTCTTCATCTGGTACAATTTTATCTTTCGTTTTGGTTTGCTTGGACTTGTCGTCATGGGTTGCGAAGTCTGCTAACTTCGCTAGTTCTTTCACAGCACCAACAAGGGCTTCAATCCGCACAGCTATTTCAATTAGTATAGAAGCCAAAGTCACCACTGGTATGATTTCCATGAGAGGGACCGTGGCTGTTGCTTCCATGGATGTCTTCATTTTTTTGTTTTCTGGCATTGTTGATGGATTCAGCAGATAAGAAAGGGATTTTAAGTCATTCTGGAGTTCTTGCACTGCACTGTTCATTTCTCCAATCAACAAATCTATAGTGGATGACTTCTTCATTGTCTTGACAGTATTGGCTAGCTCTCTTACGGTGCTTGAAGAGCTAGAGCTCACTTTCAAGCAACTAGTTCTGAGATGCTTCTTTATGAACTCAGCTGCCTGTTTAAAGTGTAAAACAAGTGATCATGGCAGCCTGAATTAGTACTCTTATTTTATCATCATGGAACAAATCATAACAGATTAAATCAAGTCTTTGAACTGGGATGACCTGCTTTTCTGAATTGAAGCAACTGCTGAGAGCCTCTATGCTGTAAGCACAGCTGCGCATTGATGCCCCAATTTTCAGGTATTGTTTCCATGGGTGCCGGAAGTTGAACCGGCCATGGGAAGGCTCCCACCTAGCAAAACTTGCCTGTAGATGGAAAATATGCCAATATCCTATTCAGTTCAAAAATTACACGAGGGAGCGTTAACAGATTTATGTACTTTATAAGTCCTGTCACTTACCATAGATTCTTCTGATGCCTTGGAGCTTAGCACGCACTTGTAACCTTGCAATTTTTTATCAGCCTCTTCGTTGCTGTTGGTGCACTCCCCACGGTGATTAAAATATTGTTTTACACAACCTGAACCCATAGTGGTAAGACAGGTTCTTAGCATGTCGAGTTGAAAAACAAACTACTTATATTATGAACCAGAACTGCAGAAAGAGATGCACCAACCATCCAGGGAATCTGCAAGTTTGTCCATGTTACGAACAATCAGGCTATGTAGTTCCTGACCAGACCAAATGGGGGAGACAATCATGATTACAATAATGCACAATGAAGTTCCAATGATAATGGTGGATATTCTTTGATGGGCCTTGTCAAACAGTTTATCCACCCTATATCCTGATACTGCAACGAAGCTGAAGGTGAGGATAAAGATCATGGCGCCATAATCAAACAGGGATTTTACTGACGGAATGAGTCTAGAGAAGGTTGCTACGGAAGCTGAAAAAGGAATTAAAGATAACCTGGTTTAGCAATATGCAAATTATATATGATTAACCTGGTTTAGCAATATGCAAATTATATATGATTACCTATCATAATTCATAAGCAAAGCCAATATCAAGATCACACTACATACCTAGTAGGAAAACTGAGGCTCCCACAACAAAGGGCTCAAAGCTCTCTCCTGATTGACTGGCAACCCAGTGAACCCCAACGGCAAGAAATCCGGCTAGACAAGTTCCACAAACTCTGTTCAAACATTTGTATAGGGCTGCGCCTGTGATGTGGTAAAGTCGAAATGTTCAGGTTAAATAACCTCCCTCTCAGGGTAAGAAAACGACAAGGTTTTGAAGAAGTTGGAAACATATACTTACCAACAGTTTGCTCAAATACTACTACAACTGTCATAACAGCCCACATAGCATTCCCTCCGACACTATCATACAACGGCCTCATAAAGTAGAACAGTGATACAATTGCGAGTGCCAATCCTACCTTAATGCAATGGATCAATTTTCTAGGATCATTAACCCCCATGTCCCATTCTCTCCTCAAAAACATAAGCACTTTGAAAGGCAAGCCTGAAATCAGGCCTTTTATTCCTAGCCAAGCCTTTCTGGCAAGCCCTGTTTCTTGAGTCAAAAACTCCGACGAGCCATCGGCCACCCTTATCCTCCACTCCACTCCCTCAAATACTTCCTTCCCATGAACCATCTTTTATGCTCGTCACGACAACAAATGTTTTTGGGAAATGGGATACGTTGAGATTATACAGAAACAATTGGTGCTATGTTGACAATGGGAAGCAAAGACCGCAAGGCACTGCAGAGCGGACCCGGCATGCAATGTGTGGCTGAGGCTTTGTTGATCCAAAGCAGTGTAATTATTGGATTATATAAAGAGGACATTTGGAATCTGATGTTTCTGATCTTTTCAAGAAAATGTAAACAAAATCAAAGCCCACCTGCGCGGGGATTCTAGAAGCAATTTCTTACTATTTTGGTGGGTAATAAGGTCGTGATGTGGACACATAGTAAAAGGTACTCTCCCTCTTGCAATTTTTAACTATGGAAATCATGCATCTTTTATACCATTAATGTTGCTATCTCTTTTATAAAGTAAGCATGATTTAATAGCCATAAATGCAATCGTCACCAAGCAACATTTATGCACAAAAAATCTTGTTACAAAATGAAAGTCAATGAGGCATATCAATTGGAACAAACTTGATAAATCTACTTGACATTCTGCCAGGGGCTCCAGCCTAGCTCTCTGATCATGTTTAGTTAAATGTTCTGTGAACCTGCTGCATTTTGAAGTTTAGATATCAAGGTTTAGTCTTTCGTTTCGTTCTAGGTAAACTCGGCAAGAATGTTAGCACTCTTTCGTGATCCAGATGGTGAAAGATCTTTTGATGGCATAAAACCAATTTTTATGTCGGGATGCTGCTGTCTGCTGACATAATGTGTCCTAAATTGAAAAGCTGAACGCCACCTGCCCATGATCTAGGTCATAAAAGTATTAATTCTACCTCTTTGTTTAACTGTCCTGCTAAGTGGATCTCTGAATGGAATCCTCTCTGATCTGTCTCATGCAGATAAGAAAATTAGGAAACAGCACCAACCTTTAGATAAAGTATCTCAATATCCTGAGTTTTTCGTAATCCGATCCTGGTACCTTCTGTACGTAGGTAATGACCTTGAACATAACAGTGCTAATGTGCCACTGCAATTCGTCCTAACCCTATCTTGGGGCTATCAAATAGTATACTAGGGTTAATGCAAAGGCTTCGTTTCTGAACCAGTGACATCATCATCATCTTTGCATTGAATGCAGCATTCATTCTGCAACGTACCCTGCGTCCGTAATCATCATCAACGTAGACTTTTGTTCGCAGAAGAGGGGGAAAAGAAAAAACTGATGTGATGGTTTTCCTATGAGAAACAAACTGCAATGTCCCGAAGATTTATTGCACATCATTAAGGAATAATTATCAGAAATGCTATAAACCTCAGGCCAAAGTGAATCAGTTATTCTTCTGCTATGTCGAATTGAGCATTGCAACTGCAACAAAACCTTCCCTCCAGTGATCTTCGACTAAAGTGGAGAGGCCAATATGAATCTATGAATTTTAATTAATATCATTAATTAATGACAAGCAGGATAACTCATTCTTAAAATAGTACAGCCCAAGCATATAAAATGCCCTCGTCAAGGGAAATTAGGTCATGAATAGGACCATCAAGGTTCCCATCTTTAAATAAAGTGGGGCACTAGGATACAAAACAGGGCTTGGATTGGGTTTTGCTGATTTCACTAGAATGGAGAGAGCACTTATCTCCTGATGTTGGTCTTTCCACAGCTGCAGTGCACTGGTTTGAAAGGCAAACTCAGCTATCAGAAGTTACCCTCTCTTCAGCCGGGTCTACTCATGTCTCAAAGTGTGACTATCATTTGCTTAATGTGTTAGTTGAACTAGCTTTACACTTTGCTAAAGCCAATGCTGACCTTCCAAGCTCTTTCTTAATTAAGGTTTTAAAATGGAAATCTCTTTCTAGAATTTGTATAGTTTACAATAAGTATCCCTGTACTGCATGGTATGGCAAATCCATGCAAGAGAATCTATTTGGATTAGCTTAATGGTGGAGGAAGCACCAGACACCAGCTAAAGCCGCATAAAATGCACACATGTTTTTAGATGTTAACCTCTCACAAACGGCATCTTCCTTACCTTATGGTTATGAAGAAGAATGGCATATTCTAGCATAAAAGTATACAGCAGTTCCGGTGCATACTCATTTTTGTATTTACTTCACCAATGGGACTCCATATGAATTTGGGTGAGTGTAGTATTAAGCCCAAATTACTGGTAGAAAAGGCTTTTTGCCTATGGTAAACAGGAATTAAACTATTACATCAGACTGCCATAGCTAATCCTTCCGTTTCTAAATTTGACACGGGGAAAAAAGGAGAAAGAAAAGAGAAATTTGCTTCTCTAGCATATGTTATCGCCCATGCTAGCCCTCTGCTTTCACGAAGCAAAAAACTTAGTGGAATTCTGTGCATTATCCAGCAGCACCAGTGCAACCACGTTAATCTGAAGAGAATTTTC